CGGGCTGCTTCCTGGGGGTGGAGGCCTGGTCGAGGACCGGGCCGCGGGGACACTAAAGCCCCGAAATCATCTCAAGATAACCTCAAGATAACATGTTGATTACAATAACGCCCAAAAAATGCGACCTCTTAGTTGGAGAACGGGCTGAAAAAACTACCACTGCAGCTGGTGCTGTCGCCGGGGCTACCTTCTCATATCCTCTCAATAACAAATTGTGTTTAGTGAACGCGCATCTAATATAACTATCTAACATTAACCCGCTGGAATCACGTGTAAATTAAGCAGTTGAAAAGACACACACAGGCTCGTGCTGGTGAAATTAAACGATATAAAAGAGCTAGAAGAGGAGAATAGGAGTGCAAGAGGGCGTCGAGAAAGGCCACATTGAGCTATAACAACAGCCACGAGAAAGCAGTTCAATGAAAGCGCTTGAAAGGACCAGTTGGGTATAATGGGACGTAAGGAACGATAACAATATGCTTGAAACCAGCGTAGCAGTTCATCAAACCGTAATGTCTATTTTTGTTATTGAATAAAAGGCCTTTTGTAAGTAGAAAGCGTGATTGTTTGCGGGTTAACTTGGATACAAAAGGTTTACAACACCCAACTGCAGGATTAGAAGGGTAATTTATCTGTGGAAACTGAAAAGTAACACGGAAGAGTAGGCAAAGGGAGGAATGGATTGCAATTCTATCTCTCAATCTCTGTCTCTCACTAGTCCTAGTGAGAGGCAGAGAGGTTGACAGATTGAATTGCAAAGGAAGACAGAAGCAGAACGCAATAGAGAAGAATAAAAGGCAGAGAAGATAGCATCTGGGTGTAGCCACATGCGCTTGTAATACTTACCTGTAACCACACGTGGTGTTCTGATTCATGTGCTTGTAACACCTAGCTGTAGTCACATGTGGTGCTCGATCTGTTCCCTTAAAATCCGTTTATAGCCATATGTGTTTCTCATATTGCTTTTGTGACATCTGGCTGATCATATATATTTCTGTCATATGTACCCCTTGTCGCACCTGGCTGTAGCCACATGTTCTTCACTGATATGTATGCACATGTGTGTGTAAACAAAGGATTAACAGTATAACTAGACTCCTTTAAGGGAACGGAACATCAGTTTATCCACACTAAGAAAATCTGATTCACAGCATTTGATCTAGTGCTTTTGGGCATAAATAAATAGTTAGAAAGTAGATTTTAATGTTTTTATCTAATAATCTGGGCAGTCTGTTAACAAGATTCATGATTGTAAAAGACGCAATACAATTTATACAGTAAATGCCAGATTCTATCCACCAAGTGGACTGGGTTAATGTGCGACCCATACGTGATCAGAGGTCTAATAAAGCTCCACATTTCCTATTTTTGGTTCCATGTTTCGATGTCCAGAATTTATTTTTTGGCCGTAGCTAATCACTTAACTTTTCCCTGTTTGTCTTTAGCGTTGTTGAATTGGGTGATGATTAGAATTTGGAATGGGTTTTGGGGTGATGATACATGGTTGAATGTCTCTTATGGCCACCACAATAGCTTACAGACCAACCAGCAAGTATTTTAGTCTGAATATAATCCACGGACCAGATTCACGAAGCAGTTACGCAAGTACTTAAGAACGTGAACATCTTTCCTCAATCTTTGACTGCTTTGGTTACATTTATTAAACAGTTTACAAGCATGAAAACGTCCGAATCAACTATTGTTATTGTTATAAACAGCCTCCTGGTGCTTCGGAGCTCATTAACTGTTTAATAATTGTAAACAAAACCGCCAAATATTGAGAAAAGATATACAGGTTCGTAAGTGCTTGCGTAACTGCTTCGTGAATCTGGCCCCAAGACTTGTACTCACCTAGTTGTACTCACCTAGTTGTGTTTGCGGGGGTTGAGCTTTGGCTCTTTGGTCCCGCCTCTCAACCGTCAAACTCTTGTGTAAACTCTTAAGTGTATTCCAAGAAGCTGGGTATATACCTCTATCTGTTCATGACCCTTTGTGTTTGCCAATGTATTTGCTGGTAATACATATATGGCTGGGCACTTGGTAGTTTATATATATATATATATATATATATATATATATATATATATATATATATATATATATATATATATATATATATATATATGACTGAAAACTCACACCCCAGTTTTCAGTCGCATATAGTCCTGGGGACCATTCAGGCTTGTTCGCATATATATATATATATATATATATATATATATATATATATATATATATATATATATATATATATATATATATATATATAATCACCTTTTACATTGTAAGCTAAAATGTAACTCACTTTATGTCAAAAATGTAAGTTTGATTTAGACTCCTCTACACCTGTTCAGTCCAGCGATTATTTGATTGTCCTTAAGCCCAAAAATCCTCCATACAAATTTTTGCTTCAGAGGACACGCAAATGTTGTATATGATAAAATAATTTAAAATCCTACCCCATCTATGGTCTTAAATCCATCTGCAATCTTAGAGGATTTAAGAATGAATGTTACATTCATGCGTGAATGTTACAACATGGAAGTAGACTGTGAATGTTGCAATGTTTAAGAAAAATAGATAGCAAAAGATGATATTAAGATCACTGTCAATATCTTGAGAGTGATAAGGAATTCAGAGGGTCTTTTAACGGTAAAAACTTTGATACTTTAGTACGGTATTAAAAAGTTAAAAAAAAATGACTTTTGAAATCTGTATTGGTTAAGTTGGTTAAAAATAAAAAATGACATGTGTGTATTCTAATAACACCTGACTTATCACGTGTTTTTTCAGTTATGTACCACAATATGTAGGCTTCTTTAACTTGAAATAACATATTACACTTCCTGTAATATATAAGGCTCGAAATAAAAAAAATTCTGCGTTTTAAAAACCACGGAATACAAGACACCAGAGTTTTATAAATCACACGATGGGTTACAAATACCGAGAGACGTGTTGAATTTCATGATGTATATATACTGAGTTTATTTTCGTCCTGGATTATATTCAGATGTAAAGCATGGTTGCTGGTGGGCAGTGATAGCTTTAATAACCCTCCCGTGGTTGATAGGCCTTATAAACCCACTGCCAAAGATCACTGACCATTGCATTTTGCATTTGAAAGTCATCGAATATTTGATATTTTGTGAATATGTAATATTAGGCTTCATTCATTACAAAGGCACCCACAAATGAATTTTAGAGAGCACAGATTAATAGGCGTTTTCACTACAAGAGTGTGTAGAGCGGACAGCTTCACCCTACAAGAGAGTGTAGGATGGACAGCTTCGCCCTACAAGAGAGGGTAGGACGTTCAACTTCTCCCCTACAAGAATGTGTGAGACGACTTCTAAAAGTTTTGAATGTGAAAATAAAATTTTCGCCCCTCAGCATGTCGACGATGTTACCTACTTTCCTAGATACAAATCCACGATAAATCGGTGCTTGAAACCCCCCAGCGAAGAGCACATTTCGAGTCACGCCTTAGACCAACCTCCTGGATGCTCGAAAAGGCCAACCTCGCGCACTTTTCGCACCACTCCTTGGTCAGGGCTAACCTGAGTACTTGTAAAAGCCTCAACCCCAAGGCAGTATTTACTACTCAGCTCCCGCAAGACTTTTAGAAGTGTTCTCGCAGGTAATATAAGTCTGACTCACATGTTAAGGCTAAGTCTTTAATGCTGGTTAGAGAAGGGGGGGGGGGGGGTGGTTGCTACCCATATTAAGAAGTTATTTCCACTGATGTTTACAGAGGTTAGCCACTGGGTTGTGTGCGGTGGGGGGCAGATGTGACTAAAACGAAGTAGTTCTCATCGTCTGTCATTATTTACATGGTACCCGGGTCATATTCAGAGAACATATCCAGCTTGGTCTGACACAAGTGCTAGGAATGCCTTAATATGTTTGGTTTTGTAGGAAATGAAACAATATAAGAATATTTTTATTTGGTCACGTGACGAGGGAGGGCGAGAAGATAGGCGTGAAAAAAGAGAGAGAGAGAGAGAGAGAGAGAGAGAGAGAGAGAGAGAGAGAGAGAGAGAGAGAGAGAGAGAGAGAGAGAGAGAGAGAGAGTGTGTGAGTGTGTGTGAGTTGCAGAAAAAATAAAATGAAAATGTCATTATATAAATGGACAAATATAATGGGATATATATTATCCCATTACATTTGTCCATTTGCAAATATAAGAATATATGGTTGAAATAATATAATATTCAGTGTGAAAGTGAACAAGTGGTTGAAACGTTGAGGATGTGTTGAAAGGTGGAATTATTGTCTTATGTGTCAGTACAGTGACAATAGGATTTTGTATGCTATTGGGCCTGAAAGACTAAAAATCTGAACTCTTTATAATGTTCAACTGATGAACGACCGACGTAAAAGTGAAGAGGAATGTGGCATTAAAGACTTCTGAGGTCTTTACTATTTAAACCATGAAGGAGTCAGCCGTTATGCCTTTTAAAAAAAATTATATATATATGTTTGTATATATTTGGACTAGATTCTATACTGAAAGGTTTTAAATGTACCACAGACGAGGTTTTCACAGCCCATCAACACCGAATTCGTCCTCATCTTGGAGGAGTAGCCAACCAGTGCGGTTTCAACCAGGCTTTGATTAAACGCAACCCGTCCTCAGACTAAGTCCATTCCATCCAGAGGTCGACCCCACAGACGCATTCATAAATTTTAACGTCCATTTAAAACAGGAATTTTCTCAAATATAGAATAATATTATTTTATGTTACCATATTGTACATATTTAGACACTGGTTAGGTTAGGTTAGGTGTTTAGGTTCTGTTGGCGATTATTTGTATTTGTAGTACGTGGGTGAAGCATTTACAGCGTTGTGGTTCGAACAAAAGTCGTCAGTGAAGCACTTGTTCCGGAAGTGTTCGAACGTCATCAGTTGTGAGTCGTGTGTAAACCGTTTTTCATTCATAAACAGGGGGTTTGGCGGGTGTATGGAATGGACTTTTGGTCTCTGGAGGACGGGCTGTTAAACAAGATCGAGACCATCCCCAGTGGGGTCGAGGAGCCAGGGGTAGCTTCGGGGGCAATCCATACAGGTGAAGAGGTTATTGCTGTCTCCTCGAAGCTCTCTGCTCTTAAGGTTACACGTGTTGGGCAGCGAGCAGTAAGGCAGACCCTTCACGTCACATTTATCCTTCCACTCCTCGAAGTCCTTGATACCGGTGACTTCGGTGGGACTCTGCATCCACTGGATCACCTGCAACATGGTCACGAAATACACGTCATTCTGAGCAGTCTTCTCGTTGATAAATTTAATTAGTACCTTCTTGAATTCCTTGTTGCTTTCCAGCCAGGCAGCGTGGAAGTGCAGGCCCAGAGGCGCGCGGTTGGTGTTGTAATGGCGCTGGAAATTGTGCTCCAGGAAATGAGCAAATTGTTCTCCGGTAAGAATGTTTGTGCACGAGCTGACGAAGTGGCAGCCGGGGAGTTTCTCGTCAAAGAGGGGATCGTCTCTGCGATCCAGTTCATTCATGACCATCTCCCAGACGGGATGGGACCTGGAAGGGCAGTTCTGGGCGTTGCCGTGGCACTTATGAGGCATGCGGAAGTACATGGTATAGGGCCATAGGGGAACGCGATTCAGCGAGACTGTGATCGATGCGTCGTAGATGAAGAGCTGATCCGTCATCATCTCGAACTGTGTGTTACCGCCGACCCTCAGGTAGGGCGCGCGGAGACCGATGATAGAGTTGTCGGTGATGTTGGCGAACCTCTCGATGATTAGTCTCGCGCCAGCCATTTCGGTGAGCCAGTCGTCGTAAGTGCCGTAGGTCCAGTAGTTGGGGTCCTCGCGGTTACTGATGGAGAACACGGCTATCTCGTGGCCCTTACGGTGCAGCTCCTGCACGGCCGAGTAATTGGTGTATCTGTGGGAAACGAAAAAGGTACCCTTCACCTGGCACCCGTTGGCATTCTTGCGGTCGTCGTTGAAGAGATCCTGATAGAGATCAACGTTGTCGATATTGACGGCGCCCGAGAAGGTAATGGTGATCATCTGTGGCGTCTGTGTGGGCTCCAAGTTGCCAGGGATTCGCGTGCCATCCGACGAACAAAAACAGTCTGGTAAAACACACTGCTGCTTGTCGCACTCAGGTGCACGGTTTGGGTCCTCATTCACACCTGAGGGATAGAGATGAGTTAATGTTCCATCACAAGGTGCCAGTACGGGCTGGGTCACTCCGGGCTCACGACGACAAATACAATATTTAATACATAGCTGATACAGCAGTCGACGACACACCACTCATGAGGAGAAACACGCGGATATCAACATTAGGAAGTTAATAAGATATTTACAGATAGTTTTTTGCTGATTTGTTTACTCATAAGTCATTCACTACTCGAGAAAACAGCAGCCAGGCCACTCAGGATGTATTATACTCAGCAGATAATTATAAATCCGTCTATTCTTTTACCAGTGAATCCGAAACCAAAAGGAATATGCGCACGCGGACACACACACACACACACACACACACACACACACACACACACACACACACACACACACACACACACACACACACACACACACACACACACACACATACACATACACACACACACACACACACACACACACACTTCAGGACCAAAGAGACAAAGCTCAACCCCCGCAAGCACACATAGGTGAGTACACACACACACTCACTCATTCACACACACATACACACTCTGACATGCTCAAAATATTCAACATTAGCAGTTGGAGGATGAGTAGTCGTAGATGAAAACTAGATCATACGAGACATTGGAATGTAAGGAAGCACTTCTTCAATGTAAAATTAATCATCAACACAGAGAGGCTGTTGAGAGTATACCAGATAAATCCACAATAACGTGATGTATTTATGATAAAATCTTTGGAGCAGAACGGCGGGATCGAATCAGCTTCCTGGGGGTCACCCCCTTGTTACCTTGTTGAGACTAATTTCATAATTGGGTCCCAGAAGCTGGCTCTTGACCTAGAAATATTGATAAGTGAGCGTACACACATCTTTCAATACCGCGTACCTAATCAGGCTCTCATCACACTCAAATGTTAAAAGCAGTCATCCAAATAGTCAACAAAAATCTTATTAACATAATAACCAGAAGGAACCACGCTCTCTAACGATTCAGTGGTCAAACACGTAACAGCCCCACTCCTGTGCCAGGTAAGTCCACAACGGGATCACCATAGCCCGTGCTACTTGTAACTGTTTGTTCCAAGTAGCGAATCTTAAACAACATATAGGTGGGGGGAGACACTCACTGCATGCGTTCTCGTCAGACTGGTCTTCGCAGTCGAAGTTCCCGTCGCAGAAGAGCGTTTGGGAGAGGCAGACGCCATCCCCGCAGGCTAGCTGACCCTCAGGGCAGAGGGGCTCCTCCGTGTTGAGCAGCGGCTTGGCCTTGAGTGGCTCTTGAGGGGTAGGCAAGTGTTGAGGGAGAGGGAGAGAAGTGCGAATTGAATGATTGCTTGTGACGTCATAAAAGGGATTATAATGGACTAAGAGAAGATGTTTTATGGATGGTTGATGTGATAGATATTATAAATTAGTAGACATCGATAAGGCATAATGGATGTCATGGCAAATTATGATGATAGTTTTGATGATAATACAAGTAATAATACTAATTTAGATGATAATACTAGTAATAATAATAATAATATATTGCTCGTTTGGAAATGATTATAAGTCATAGCAAATTATAATACAATCAACAAGTCATACTAAAACAATCAAACTATACTTGTTGACCAGACCACACACTAGAAATTGAAGGGACGACGACGTTTCGGTCCGTCCTGGACCATTCTCAAGTCGATTGAGAATGGTCCAGGACGGACCGAAACGTCGTCGTCCCTTCAATTTCTAGTGTGTGGTCTGGTCAACATACTTCAGCCACGTTATTGTGACTCATCGCCTGCAAACTATACTTGCTTGAAGACAAATGGCTACATGTAAATAATATTTCAAATTATTCTTTTGGTCTGTATATTTTTTTTTAGATACTCCTGATGGGAATTCATACTTTTTTGTTTCATTTACAAGACATCTTGAAAACATCTTTTTCCAATTAACTTAAAGTACTGAGAATTTTCCCGATTACCTCTTTAGTTTTTTAATTCTATGATGTAACCTACAGCAGCATTATGTCCATAATTCATTCATTCTTAAGAAGTCTCCGTGGTGTAGTGGTAAGACACTCACCTGGCGTTCCGCGAGCGCTATGTCATGGGTTCGTATCCTGGCCGGGGAGGATTTACTGGGCGCAATTCCTTAACTGTAGCCTCTGTTTAACGCAACAGTAAAATGTGTACTTGGATGAAAAAACGATTCTTCGCGGCAGGGGATCGTATTCCAGGGACCATAGGATTAAGGACTTGCCCGAAACCCTACGCGTACTAGTGGCTGTACAAGAATGTAACAACTCTTCTATATATCTCAAAAAAAAAAAAAAAAAAAAAAGTATTTTCTTAGAGCCATGTGAAAATTTCTGGCAAAGTTTGAGTCTGAAATTAATCCAGTGAGTTAAGGGGAAATTGCATTACATGTGCCAGGACTGACAGTGTTGTATTCAGTACTAGATCTTTCATATATTTACACCCATTTTTTCCATAGGATCTTCGTTAAATAAATAGATCATCATAGCAAAAAACATTAAGCTTAGTACTGTACAAATCCACAAGAGCCGTGACGAGGATTCGAACCTGCGTCCGGGAGCATCCCAGACGATTAGTACAGGGTACAGGGAGATAACTTACATAAGTTAAGTGCTTAAGATAAGTTACAGACGGGAGCATCATCTGGGATGCTCCCGGACGCAGGTTCGAATCCTCGTCACGGCCCTTAATACTGTCTACGCGACTACCTTATGGGCAACCAACGTTTTACCTTTCCTTAGTCCTACCCTATTCTCTATCCCTTACACACGTTACCCCCCCCCTTCCTTTCTTGCAGAATTGACCACTCCTCTATATCGTTACTCATATTTTTCTTTATCTATTCCATCCATTCCTCTAATTTCAGCCTTGCTTCCTCCCTCCACCTGCTTCTTCTCTCCCTTATGAAATTCCACCTTTCTCATACGTCCACCAATCCCGCTTCCTTTGCACCTTTCCATCCACTGATCTCTCTTGCAACTTCTTACTCCCTGAGGGTGTTGCACAAGAGTGGGAGTGTAAACACTCTTGCTTAATACACCACTTCACAAATTCTCAAATAAACATCATACGTATCTTCCCTTCAATACATATTATAACACTGAAACAGACTTAAGTATTCTTGGACCTAACAAGCAAACTGATACAATGACAAAAATTGTATTGACAATTCTATATGAGATGTATGTGAGTAAGTCTATAAATTTAAATGTATAAACAATGAAAACATCTGACAGTTTTGTCTTCTAATAACAGATAGTCATCCACGTTGAATTATTGACATTTCTCCTACAGCTGAAAGTGAACCTAAGTCTATGTTTGTAGAGGCAATATTTCCTAATATATATATATATATATATATAACTTTATATATATATATATATATATATATATATATATATATATATATATATATATATATATATATATATATATATATATATATATATATATATATATATATATATATATATATATATATATATATATATATATATATATATATATAATGGTAATGCACTATGTTAACACTTTACAACTGAGGCTGATGACGCAACACAAATAATACAAATAATAAAACGCTTGGTGGCTAAGTAGGCAGCGCTCGGGATTCATAATCGTAATTCGTAATCGTACTAATTTTCGCAATCAAGCTACCAATCACGTCTCAATTTCCCGCTTGTCATATTCTCATTCCAACTGCTTAATAATTCCTATTGTGTTACCACTGAAGTTTTACTAAGTTATCATAATAGTTCCAATTATTAGTGAATGTTTTACTGTTAAGGACAGTTATTCCTCTCAGATTTACAACATTAAATTCCACAACTTTTCATGATTATTTGTTATAGTTATAATTTGCCTTTACAACCCGTTGTTCCTTGCTCGTAGTGAGGGTTATCTTGAGGTTATCTTGAGTTGATTTCGGGGCTTTAGTGTCCCCGCGGCCCGGTCCTTGACCAGGCCTCCACCCCCAGGAAGCATCTTGTGACAGCTGACTAACACCCAGGTACCTATTTACTGCTAGGTAACAGGGGCATTCAGGGTGAAAGAAACTTTGCGTTCGTGCCGAGGTAACAACTTAATGTGTAGAGTTATACAGGAACAGCACGGGGGAGACATCTCCCGTCACGCAGGGTGCAGTCGCACCTCCACAGATCTCCAGTATCATCTATAGATACTGGAAATGGCTCAAAAGGGTCACCACTTACGGGCTATTCATGCCCGTGCCACCTTTTGGGTGGCTTAATCTTCTCTCTCTCTCTCTCTCTCGCAGGAACAGCATCACTTACTGAGTCGAAGCATGACCAGAGCCACAGATGCCAGGGGTACTTACTGTTAAGTCTAGACAGGAGCAACAGACGCAACGGAATCGCACTCTTAGACTAATAGGGAGCAACAGTCGCCAGTGATACGACTAGGGGCCAGATTCACGAAGCAGTTAGGGAAGCACTTACGAATCTGCCCATCATTTCTCAATCTTTGCCGGCTTTGTTTACAATTATTAAACTATTAATGAGCTCCGAAGCACCAAGAGACTGTTTATAACAACAACAACAGTTAATTGGCAAGTTTTCATGCTTGTAAACTGTTTAATAAATATAACCAAAGCCGTCAAAGATTGAAAAAAGATGTACACGTCCGTAAGTACTTGCGAAACTGCTTCGTGAATCTGGCCCCAGACCGGAACACCAAACGCCAGAGATACTCACTTTCAAGTTTGTCGCAGTTTTTGACGCGTCTCCTCCAGTCGCACACTTGACGGTCCACGTCGAAGGCCAGTCCCGTCGGACATCGCAGAGCCGCAAGACGAAGAGGTCCGCTCACCCCGCTCCTGTCACACCTGAGGCACCACAACAGATGTGTGTCAGGTTTGGAATCAGGAGGGATGAAGATGAGGTCTCAGTGAGGTTATATAAGATCAAACCAAGTTTGTGATGATCACGACGGGAGACATCTCCCGTCACGCAGGGTGCAGTCGCACCTCCACAGATCTCCAGTATCATCTATTGATACTGGTAATGGCCCAAAAGGGCCACCACTTACGGGCTATTCATGCCCGTGCCACCTTTTGGGTGGCTTAATCTTTATCAATCAATCAATTGTGATGATCCTGAAGCCATCAACACAGCCACTCTCCTGGTCAACAAAGGTGTCCAGCAGCTGGACACCCTCATAAAGACTGTGAAGCAGTATCCTCCCCCGCGATAACAGCTTGATGCAACCTCAGAATACTGAGAAAAAAAAAAATTGTACCACTTACGGGATATTCATGCCCGTGCCACCTCTTGGGTGGCTTAATCTTTATCAGTCAATCAATCTTGTGATGATCACGGGAGACATCTCCCGTCACGCAGGGTGCAGTCACACCTCCACAGATCTCCAGTATCATCTATTGATACTGGTAATGGCTCAAAAGGGCCACCAATTACGGGCTATTCATGCCTGTGCCACCTTTTGGGTGGCTTAATCTTTATCAATCAATCATCTTTGTGATGATCTCAAAGGGAAAGGAAGGAATTGTTGACCAGACCACACACTAGAAGGTGAAGGGACGACGACGTTTCGGTCCGTCATGGACCATTCTCACAAATCGATTTGAGAATGGTCTAGGACGGACCGAAACGTCGTCGTCCCTTCACCTTCTAGTGTGTGGTCTGGTCAACATACTTCAGCCTCGTTATTGTGACTCCTCGTCTGCACAAGGAAGGAATTATCAGGAGAAAGTGCTAAGCCATTACGACTATATAGCACTTGGAAGGGGTCTGGATAAGGATAAGGATAATAATAATAATAATAATAATAATAATAATAATAATAATAATAATAATAATAATAATAATAATAATAATAATTAAGAGTTGATTAGGGGAAAAATGTCAGGACAGGAGTTGATGGGAAGGTTATGTAGAGAGGAGCCTGGGATAGAAGAGTTAAGGGAGAGGTAAAGGGTAGAGGAGCCTGGAATAGAAGAGTTATGGGAGAGGTAAAGGGTAGAGGAGCCTGGGACTGAGGAGTTAAGGGAAGGGTAAAACATAGAGGAATCTAGGGCAGAGAGAACTGTTTTTTCTTGCATTTATGTTGGTGTTTTCTGTCATAATTTTATGTTTCTTAAGGAGTTGGCTCCATGTTGTGGTTGTGTACACAAGTGGGACTCAAAAAAGATGTACTCAGTACCCTGAAGGCGAATTTTTTCCACTAATTGAAAGCTATCAAAATATTTTCGAGTTTTCTTTCGCCTGCGAAATAAATGTTTTTTTTTTTGTGTCATGGGAGTTACATTTGGGGGTTAATTCTACTCCCTAGAGCTGCTCCTCTCATTCTGGAAGCTGTTGTTGTTGTTGTTTTAGATTTAGCTTATTATTATTATTAACATCTTTATTGACAAAATTAATTACAATTTTGCCTAATCTGAGGATTTTGATAGTCTTATTAAATTGAAGTTAATGCTAGTATTCACTGTCACGCAGGACAGAGGGTCATACATAAGACAATAGGTCTAAACTGTAGATTTAGCTACTCAGAACGAAGTGTCCATGTAGCACGGGCTATGGTGATCCCGTAAACTTCTGGAAGTTATCTCTTCATTCTCTACTACTGCTTGGGCCTCCTCACTCCCTGTACTCTCCATATAACTATACCTGTCTGGGGTAAAGTCCAATATAATTTGTTTACATCACCTTTGGATTATCTAAATAATTTTGTATTCTACTTATTTCTCCTCGTCTGAATCTCCTCATTATTTTGACATTATCTACAAAAACTGATATGAAGGAAACTATTTCTTCTGCCAAATCGTTGATGTATACGAGGAATACATCAACGATGTATTGAACCAATGGTATTGACGTATGCCTTTCCATTGGAGACTTTCAGCGCCGTGGAGAGGAGGGGGGGGGGGACCTGCTGCATGGGTAACAGCTTCTCCCCCATATCAACCTACCCTGGCTTTGCGCCCTGGAGAGGCCACTCCAGACCGACAACCAGAGTGCAACTCCATAGTCTCCTGAGACTGATGGATGCCTACTACTACTACGAGGAATAGAAGGGATCCTTGTAGATACTATCGTGAGTTAGTTGCCTATGTCGTTTTGGGTAACTTGTCAAACGCCACCCTCTGTTTTCTTTCTCGGAGGTATTCCCTTACTCAGTTTAGAAAGCAGAATGAACCAATCTGCCTCTATAGCTTGAGTAGGAGTGTTCATATTTTCCATATAGGAGTATGACATATTATGGGTCTTCTTGCTCCTTCCACGATTCACATTACCTTGCATTTATCTGAAGTGACGGACTTATCTATATATTTCTAGCAGCACCTCCCTTCTCTCCCCCTTTTCCCCTTTGTTTCTCATCTCTCTCATTTTATCCTCTTCAGCCTACAGTTTAGACCTATTGTTCTGCGTGACAGTGAATACCAGCATTATCCTCACTTTAATAAGACTATCAAAATCCTCAGATTAGGCAAAATTGTAATTAATTTTGTCAATAAAGATGTTAATAATAATAAACTCTTACCCACTCACATTATAATTCCACTCAACGCCCCCTCGCCTCCACCACTCACCTGAACACATCCCGACAGTCGTTGAAGTCCGGAAGCCTGAAGAATTCCTCATTGGCCCTGTTGACACACATCTCCTCCGTGGTGTAGGGCAGGTCGAAAGAATTAGTCAGCTGCCTCTTGTCCCTGGGGTGTCCTGGGCCCTCCAAACCTCTCACTGTGAGGAGAGAAGAGTGAGGGAGGGAGAGATGAGTAGGGGATTAACTGTGGGAGTGTTGAATATGGTATAGTTGAGGTTGAGAAGGTAATGTCGTTCTTGGGAAGAACATATAGAAAACATATTTTGTCCAATAACCGGAAGAGAAATTTAATAGGAAAGGAGGACAACGTCAACCTATCCTCCTAGAATGATAGTTCTTTATAGTACTATCTACAGTTTTCTGATAATAATTGATAGTACAAAAATGGACTTTTGCAGTCAGCAGTGTTTACGTTATATACTATTCGTTTTGTTAATGGCACACGACGAAAAAATCCTAAGCTTAGCATATATATATATATATATATATATATATATATATATAATATATATATATATATATATATATACTATGTTATCTGGAGCTGGAACTCCTAGGGGCATTCGTTGTTGCCTTCAGCCTCGTTCTGACAGTTCCTTCGACAACGCTGGAACCAATCGTATAGGCGTTTGCCTTTCCTGTAGAGACTTTCGGCGCCGTGGAGACCTGCTGCATGGGTGACAGCTTCTCCCCCATATCAACCTACCCTGGCTTTGCGCCCTGGAAAAGCCACTCCAGACCGACAACCCCATAGTCTCCCGAGACTGATGGAGGCTTAGAATGGCTTGTACAGGTCAGTGTACGTTCTTTAGTTACTTCCCAATTGTTTACATGACGTTTGCTAATCTCAGCCGCTCGAACTTCCTCTGGACCTCTACCTCAGCCTCCCTGTGCTGTTGCCAACAGTGAGAGTTGAGGGTTCGGGTGAGGACACAAGGGAAAGTGGAAGTTAGTCAGGTACCAGCCAGCCAGCCAGCCAGCCGGCCGTGTGAAGCCCTCAGGGTACTATCTTTACTGATAGTTACCTCCACGCTGGCGTCCGCCAGGCTGGCTCTCTCTCTCTGTCTCTGTCTCTCTCTGTCTCTCTGTCTCTCTGTCTCTCTCTCTCATCTCTCTCCAGCTCTCTCTCTCTCTCTCTCCTCTCTCTCTCGCGTTCTCTCTCTCCTCTCTCGTCGCTCACAATGTTGACCAGACCACACACTAGAAGGTGAAGGGACGACGACGTTTCGGTCCGTCCTGGACCATTCTCAGTCGATTGTGGTAAGACAATTGGTAAGACAATACTATCACTGAAGTAAAGATTGGTCGGTAAGACAATATAGATAACAATTCAGGGCGAATTGCTTTCTTAAGAGAAATAACACATAATTACCGACAATAACGAGTATAAACGAAATATAGAAGATCTATGTACAAGTGGGGAAAACTTGTATTTGGATTTAACATATTTATATCCTAAAGTGTCTATACACAAAAGATTTTCCACTTAAAAAAATTCGCCACTTAAAAGTCTTAAGTGTTGGAATATTTCAGACCTATAATTCGTCATTCATGTACAGTTTAGACAGTCAAATGTTTCGCTACTCTGAATTTAAGCAACTGAGTATCTCAAGTTACCGGAAGTTGCAAGTTTTGAAAGTAGCGAAATGAAAAATTGACTTCTCGAAAGCATATTTAAAAGTATAAGCGGTCAGAAGTTTAAGTCATTTAAAATCATTTCAAATTTAATACTTTGCCTTTCGGACGTTTTACGATGCAAAGTTACACTACTCAAGCGTTCATGCAAACTGTATTGTTTCACCGCTCCAAACTTTAATATTTTAAAGTTTTATTATTGAAAGTTTCACAACTTTCTGGTCAGTTTTGGCATGCATCATCAAGCCCAGACATTGCCATGTGGAATTGTATTAGTAGTGTGTGTGTGTGTATACTCACCTATTTGTGCTTGCGGGGGTTGAGCTCTGGCTCTTTGGTCCCGCCTTTCAACTGTCAACCAACTGGTGTGCAGGTTCCTGAGCCTATTGGGCTCTATCTCAGGAGCCTATTGTGTGTGTGTGTGTGTGTGTGTGTGTGTGTGTGTGTTTACTAGTTGTGTTTTTGCGGGGGTTGAGCTTTGCTCTTTCGGCCCGCCTCTCAACTGTCAATCACCTGTTTACTAACTACTTTTTTTTTTTTTTTTTTTTTTTTTTTTTTTTTATCTCTCTCTCTCTCTCCACACACAACACACACACACACCCCAGGAAGCAGCCCGTGACAGCTGACTAACTCCCAGGTACCTATTTACTGCTAGGTAACAGGGGCACTTAAAGTGAAAGAAACTTTGCCCATTTGTTTCTGCCTCGTGCGGGAATCGAACCCGCGCCACAGAATTACGAGTCCGCGCGCTATCCACCAGGCTACGAGGCTCCCTAAGGCTGTGTGTGTGTATGTGTGTGTGTGTGTGTGTGTGTGTGTGTGTGTGTGTGTGTGTGTGTGTGTGTGTGTGTGTGTGTGTGTGTGTGTGTGTGTGTGTGAATATGCACGCTTGATATTCTTCCTACAGATTATTGTGATGTATAGTTGCAATAAAGATACTTTCACTGCGTAATACTCTCTCTTTCAGTCTCTCTTTGTTATATTTTATTTGTTTTCTGCTCCCACGTCTCCCCCCCCCAGTAATTATGTCGATTTTTTGCTTGTTTACTTGTCTTTTAACGACTTCATCCACTCAGTTCATGGAGTTTTTTTTTTTTTTTTTTTTTTTTTTTTTTTTTTTTTTTTTCTTCGTGTCTCTTTGATATGAGTTAATATTCCTTTCCTTCTTACACTTCAAGGAACTATACAACATATGCTTTATCACATTCTCCAATATATTATTCAACATATTCTTAGCATACTCAATTTTTCTTAAAAATAATCTCCAACAATGCCTTAACTCAACATATTCAGCATACTCAAGGAAGCTCTATATAACAAAATACTTAAATATACAACCTGGAAGGTATTTTTAGATGAACAAATCCACAAGGGCCGCGACGAGGATTCGAACCTGCGTCCGGGAGCATCCCAGACACTGCCTTAATCGACTGAGCTACGACAGGATTTGTACCCTGTTCAAATTTGTTCATTTGATGTATCACGTTATTGTGATCTCTGTGTGTGGTGTGTGTATTTTTAGATGCCTTTGCTTCAGTTTTTATTTTTGTTATGATGGACAAGATCAACATCTGAGGATCGGCATGCGTGGCATCATGTGAATCTTCCTGTTGTGTTAGCGTGATGTTCCCAAGGTGAAAGTGTGGCTACCAGTCACCTGAATTTATATGTAAAATAAATCTACAGGTAAGGTAACTTGCATGCCAATATGTGTGTGTGTGTGTGTGTGTGTGTGTGTGTGTGTGTGTGTGTGTGTGGCAAATTGCTGCAAATTTGCGCAAGGCATTCGATAGAAAACTGGATTCGTATCTGTATGGCTGTTATCAGGACGAGAAATTAGGTGAATGTGTAGTCATACATGAATGAAAAATAACCATTCATGTTTTCGGTATATACATAATTACACACATGACAATGTATAAGATGACATATATATATATACTGGTGTATACTGGCAGCAGGTTTTCTTTTAAACATGTCTCATTGAATATGACCGCATATTCTGTATTTACTATCTTTTGATTTAGGGCTTATATCCCTCTAACTATTAATATATATATAGTTCACAACTATATTCTCCCATCTCAAGACTCCGCTCCAATATAGAAGCATCACAAGAATATGGACCAATAGGCTTTCTACAATCACTTCTATTCAATACCCATTGTTTCGTGTTCTGTCTTGGTTGATGAAATTAATACCTATTAAATACCACCTCACCCCATCCACCTCACTCAAATGTAGATCTAACAAAATCGGATGTGTAAGTTCTATTCAGTTGTGTATATGGAAACTAAAGTCTTTGAAAATGTAATAAGTTTTACGAAACGCTCTCCAGTGTCGCGTCAGACTAGAAATAAAAATGAATTTTGGAGAATTGATTTTTGAATTACCACCAACAGTGAAAATAAACGTACGAAAGATCGCGGAAAATTCGTGTTAGAAATTATTAATCTTACTTTTTCGGTCATATAATAATATGATATATATATAGATTATATATATATATATATATATATATATAATATATCTATATATAGAAAATATAATATATATATATATATATATATATATATATATATATATATAATATATATATATATATATATATATATATACTGTATTGGAAACTGTATTGGAGGGGATCTAAACATTCCCTCTAATGCGTTATGTGTGGTTTCCTCCTCGAGGCTATGGGTCCCCCTTCTTCCAGCTAGAGGTGGTACTCCCTTCCTATATTATATATATATTATATATATATATATAAGTGATCTAAAGCTAGGACTTAGGCTAAACAAAATGTATAAATAACATGTCATTGATTGAGATGTATTCTGATTTAAATATACACTGAGCATTTGTTGATATTTTTATCAGTAATTAATTAATTAATTAATTACTTTCAATTGGCAAGTTCTGTAAATGTTAACTTAAGCAAACATTAAGTACTTTAGCATTATGCCTGAAATCATAAATCATTACAGACACAAATTTCAATAATTTGTCTAATATTTTCCTGGATAAATGAATGCCTTGACATTTTTTCCATAATTATAATAATTTTTTCTAATTTATCTGATTTAGTATGTCAAGTATCGCCCCAAGCACACTAAGGTGTACTTCACCAGCAGTATGTAATTATGTACACAGTGCTCCATGGGTGTAGAAGTGGTGCTAGGTGTTAGCAACACAGGTATCCACCACAGGTATCCACCACAGGTAAACACCACAGGCGTCAAGCTGGTGGGGGACGGCTGGAGGGAGATTTCAACATGGGTTTAGAAAGTGATCTTTACGCGAAAACTGACAAGCTGTGTACGCTTTAAGAGATTCCAAGTTCATATACCATTTTGTTTGAAGACTTTGTTGTTAAAGAGTATCAAATGTCATTGGTTCAGTTGTTTATCATTAGTTCAGTTGATCAGCAGTTTGATATACAATATACATAGAGATGTATTATCTCTGCTGGTGTGTATATACGCTCAGAA